CCTTTTTCCAGATGTCTGAGTCCTGAGGAGCCACAGAGCCCATAAATTTGATGTGAGCTTCCAGGAACATTATGAAGCTATTTAAAGTCTTAATCAGGGAGACTTTAGGTGAGTGTGGTCTGACTGCAGAGGACCAACACCTATTCGGGGAGCGAAGGTCAGGACTCTGGAGCCCACTGGAGCCCTTTAACGTGCTGTTCCCTCAGAGGATGGGCATCAGAGGGAGGACATGCACAGCAGCCCGATTTCTCTGAAAGCATTGCCACAAAACGTTCTACATCACAGGTTAATGTATGAGACGCGAGTGGTAAGTGGAAAGTTGGCAAAGTCCTTTGGAAATTGACTAAAGGGCAGGAAACAAAGGGTGGCAGTAAAAATCTAAAAGGAGGTTAATTGGGGTGTGCCTCAGGGAATAGGGTTGTGACCAGCTTTTTATTATTTACATAAGAATTACTTGGAAAATGGTATTGAAAGGGATTTTCATGTTGGCTAATGAAACCGCATTAGAGAGCTGTGTGCGCGTCAGAGAGAAATGAAAATAGAATGAGGGAAGCATTTGATTTATGGGTGATGGAAGGGGAAGGTACCATTGTCTGGTCCATGTGTATGTGTCAACCCACACACCCCCATTTTGTTGGTCAGACTTACATTTGAGTCGCGGGCACGGTGGCAACCTCGGCTTGACCATCCCAACCCTCCACATGTCAGGTCCACAGAAAGCATCCAATGAATTGCTGGCACCCTACTCCCAGGGCAGGTCCTGAGATTAATTAGATGTTATCTTCAGACAGGGAAACCTTGTGTTCAGTAGGATCTGGAAAGCAGATGGACACTCCCGTTGAGCTACAAGCTTAAGATAAGGCCACCTTGCCTCCATGTTGCCCCCGCACCCCGGCCTGCTCTTTATTGAACATTTCTTAACCTTGGAAGCTGTGGTAGTTACATAATCTGGTGTCGGTTTGGGACTTGAGAGGATTAAGAGTGTAGGGGTGGAATCTAGTCTGTCAATCAGGTCATAGCCAATGAGGCCTCTGTGTGGGCATGGCATCCTCCTGAGAATCCTGGAAACTGTGGTATTTCCTCCTTGGAGGCAGGAGACACTTCTCTCTCTCTACTCACTCCCTGAGAGATGCTCTATTGACAAGACACATGGCACTACGCAGCTAGACCCCATGCCCTGGGAAATGGAGGAGCCACATGGACCTACCGTGATACAACCAGACCTCTGGAGCCAGAGAAGTCATATAGAGACACAACCCCACTGGATCCACAAGACTTCCAACCCACTGGCCTGTGATCCTCTTGCATTCGGCATCATTGCCTGTAATTCGTGATTCTGAAGAGGACTTTATAGATTGGTATCAGACATATGGGCTAATATTGGACTTATGGACTTGATTTGGACTGGGCTGGGGCATTTTTTCAACATTCAGTTGCTCTTGTATATAAACCTATTTCTGATATACATATGAGTGTCTATGAATTTGTTTCTCTAGTCTACCCGGACTCACACACAAACTCGAGTTACCACAGACATTGTTGTAGCTGTGCCCTGGATTTGTTGCCTAGGGCTGCTGCAATAGGGTGTCTTTATAAAATAAGAACTATTCTGCCACAGTTCTGGAGGCTAGACATTTGAAATCAAGGTGCTAACAGGACCTTACTGCATCTGAACGCTCTGGGTACTAATCTGCCCCACACCCCTGTCCTAGTGACTAATGGGTGCCAGAAATCCTCAGAAGACCTTTGTAGACACTTGGTTCTTGTCCTTGCCTCCATCTTCACACGATGCTATGCTCTCTGCATGTCTCTGGGTCTGTGTGTCCAAGTGTCCCTTTCCTTTTTCTTTTAAATAGACATGCTGCTGGATTCAGGTTTTTCCTAGGCCAGTATGGCCTCATCATAGGACATTTGCAAAAACCTGATTTTCAAATAAATCACATGCACAGATTCTATGGCCTAGGTTATGAACATATCTTTTGAGGGGGACATGACTCAACTGATAGCATACCCCATCCCCCACCCCCAAGAAGCTAATGGTCTCTTCAGCAAAGTTATTGCACCCTGTGTTAGTCTGGGTAGATTAGAGAAACAAACTCATAGACACTCATAGGTGTATAGGAAAGAGCTTTATATAAAGAGTAATTATACATTAAGAAAACATCCTAGCCCAGTCCAGACCTAGTTCATAAGTCCGATATTAGCCCATATGTCCAGTACCAGTGTGTAAATTCCTCTTCAGACTCAAGCAACACATGCAGTGATGCCGAGTGCAGGAAGATCACAGGCCAGTGGGTGGAAAGTCTTGTGGATCCAGTGGTGGTGGGAGCATCTTAGTGCTGGCAGGGGTCTCCACATAGCTCCTCCAGCTCCAAGGCTCTGGCTGCCATCAGTATAGTTCCATGTGGCTTGTCAACAGGAATGTCTCGCAGGGAGTGTGGATCCCACCTCTAGCGAGCTTTCTCTCCTTAGTGCCTCCAAATGAGGTCATCAAGCTGCGACCTGACTGACAGGCTAAACTCCACCGCTTTATTCTTCATAGTCTCAAGTTGACAACAGATTATGTAACTACCACACACCCTGAAAATTATATAGTGAGCCAGCACTGGAAGGTAGAAGCACACAAGTGATCTTCAATAGCCTACTCAAATGAGCCCTGGTGTCATAGTGGTTATGCATTGGGCTGCTGACTACAAGGTCAGCAGTTCAAAACCACCAGCCACTCCACCAGAGAAAGCATTATACTTCTCTAAAGAGTTACAGTCTTAGAAACTCACAGAGGTTCTAGTCTATCCTGCAGGGTCATTATGAGTCAGCTTTGACTTGATGGCAGAGAGTCCATGTAAGAAGGAACTCTGGTGGCATAGCACGTTCCATGTCGGGCTGCTAACCACAAGGTCGACAGTTGGAGTCCACCAGCTGCTCTCGTGATAAACGAGGCTGTCTGTTCCCATAGAGATGGACAGTCCCAGGAACCCCATGTAGGATCACTGTGACTCGAAATCAAGTCAGAAACAGTGAGTTTGGGGTTGTTTTGTTTAACCAATCCAGGTTTGATTCCAGATAACGTACCTTATGCACAGCCACCATCTATATGTTGCTGAACAGGTTTCAGCAGAGCTTCCAGAATAGGATGGGCTAGGAAGAAAGGCCTGGCCATCTACTTCTAAAAACTAGCCCCCCCCCGCACCCAAAAAAACAACAACACTATGATGTATGACAATCTGATCTGCAACTGACCGTGGGGATAGCAAGCACTGGGCAGCATGCAGTGCTATTGGGCATGGTGTTATCATGACGTGGGGACTAAGTGGGTAATAGCTAACAACAATGACATGTTTGGAAAAGCAGAAGCTGAATTTTAGTCAGATCCTCCAGGTGATTTTTAAGCACATTAATATTTGCTTCTGGTAGCATGCAAACCAGACCCCATTAGCTCTGTAGCCTGAGTAGAGAAAGCTGGCATCTGGACCTTTCCAGCCTGCTGTAAACCTTGTTTCCCCTTCCTGTTTTAATTTGGCTGGTAAGGCACTGGGTCTTCTACAGAATGTAAGCTTATCCTTAAATTCTTAAATTAATATGGCTTTTCAGAAAAGGACGTTAAAAGCCAGTCCAATATACCCCGGAATGCTTTTCCCCTAAGGGTTGTTCAGGCGCTGGGCCATTAGCTAATTGTTAGCATCTCTAGTGCACTGGCCACTGAGGCCTGGCACGAGAAGGCTGCCTTTAATCTGAGCATGTTTCTCCTTGAGTTGTTGGGGACTTGTGTCCTGCTGCTCAGTGCTGGCTGTTAGACCACAGCACCAGCCCCTCCTCAGGACTTCCGTGGCCTGTGCAGACCTTTCTAAACATGAGAAGCTGGGCTTTTAAAGCCCTGGATTTGAGCACTTTTTTAAGCCCTCTTAGAATCGCATTTTCTTTGTGTCTGAGCCAGAGCAGTGATGGCTGGCTAGCCCTGCTTTGCTGTCTTCTCCCTGTAGAGTTACAGCTATCGTTTGGACTTGCTTTTGGAAAACAGGATGGAGGAATGGTGTGGGGAGGGGGTGTTGCGGGTATTGGGGCAGGGGGAGTATGAAGAGGCTGGAACGTGAGTGAGATTGTCCTGCTTTTGTCTTCCACTTAAGAGTGGTATAGACAGGGACTGAATCTGATATCTCAACTCTGCCAAAAGTAATAGGGAGCAGCAATGACATGCCATCACCAGCCAAGGAGGGTCAACAGAGAGGTGTGACCAAACCCAAATGAGGCTTGAATTCTCTTCTTACTTCATCCTTTTCCCAAGGTTGCCCTGTTCTTTTCAAAGAGCTTAGTTGGCTATTGAGACATCCAATTCATTCAAGGTATTAGAGATGAGGAAAGACTTAACAGTTGCCAAGACACACCTAGGAGATTCAGTCTGAGCATGTGTTCTGGTAATTTGACCAAGCTGCAGCTTCAGAGTCCTGTCTTTACATGTGTCTAGTTCCACAAGCCAAGAGGTATTTCAACTGAGTCTTAAATAAAGTATGTCTCTTGAGGGCCACAGGGGGTGGAAAATGCATGTCGAACAGCTGCTAAGAACCCTGTACCAGCCTCATCTTTCTACGTATATTGAAGGCTCCTTGTGAGCAGGGAACTCGTGTATCCATTGTTGTTCATACAGCATTGGATGCAAACAAGTCCTTTCTAAGCGCTTGCTGAATTAATGTTCAAAGGAATCAAAACTCTTGCCATTCTTTTGGCTAGCACAAGTCAAAGTCATTGTCATCGACCCAGCAACACCTCAGGAATTCCTTTTTTAATAAGTCTTGTCAATGATGACACATGGACACTACAACGGTCTACAAAGTATGGTACATTGTTAAGTATACTACAGTGCATACCTGAAAACCCCTGGATTGAGCAGGAAAAAGGACGGTGAGTCAGAAGCCAGTTTCTTAGAGGGAATAATTTCGTGATATATGGGGACTGGACGGCGTGCTCACAACTTCCTAAGCAGGGGTGTTGCTGTTCTGTTTTAGGTACGAATCTATGATCTCTCCGAATATGAGCATGGAGCAGATGATGTGCTCATCTTGGCCACTGATGGACTCTGGGACGTTTTGTCAAATGAAGAAGTGGCAGAGGCCATCACTCAGTTTCTTCCTAACTGTGATCCGGACGATCCTCACAGGTTTGTGCATGGGGATGATTGCATGTAGGTGCTTCTCAAGCCATCTTGCATGACATGACTGAAAAAAAAGCAATAACCATGCAATTTTAATTGTTAAGGATTTATAGTACAGGCAAAACCAAATTACAGAAGAGACACTCTTTCTTGACATAGGTGAATGCTCAACAAAATTTAAATCCTTAAGTTTACCAAGACGTACATGGTAAAAAAAATTTTTTTTAATTAGTTAAGAATTTCAGCTACATATATTTCTCACATTCTGACTTCATAGCCTCCAAAGTGAGACTAGTCCAGTCCTGGCCTTGCTGATGAAGATGATGGCAGATACTCCTAGCCATGGTTTTTATCCACTGGGAAAATGATTTTTAATAACATTGGGAAAGGATAGAAAGAGTTGAGTAAGGCTTCCTTCTAACGGTTGCCAATGTCAATGTAAATATGAAAACAACCCTGGATAACTCTCAGAAATCCCCTCAGCACACAAACCGTCTCCAGAAATGAAAGCCAGGGAAACAACAGAGAATAGCCAGACCTATAAATACGGCATTATGAGAACTAAGATAACTATGTGTGTGTGTCTATGTATGTATGTTCATGTACATATGCTTCAGGATAATGTATTTAAAGGAACAGAAAAGAAGAGATAAGATCCTATAAAGATGACTAAACAGATTTTTAAAATAAGGCAATAGAACTTTTAAAGATGAGGGATGTAAAAATTGGAATTGCAGATTCAATGCATTAACCAGATTAGAGACAGCTGAAAAGAATACTGGTGAGCTTGAAAATTGATTTAGCAGAGTCATCCAGAATACAGCCCAGAGGAACAAAGAGAAAGCACATGGTGGTCAAGAGTGGTCGGATGTAGGAATTTTACAGACTGGAAACTCGGAACTCTTGAATCTGAAGTCTGTAGACCAGGTGGTGGGCTGGGAGCTCTGGAAAGATGTTTTGTTAGATGCTCAAGGCAGAATTCCTTCTCCCTTGGAAACCTCGGGTTTTTTGCTCTTAAGGTCTTCAACTGACCGGAGGAGGCCTACCTACCTATGAAGGATAATCTGATGTATTTAAAGTCAGTGTACTGTAAATTCTAATCACATGCAAATATGTTCATAGCAAAAACTTTGACCAAACAATGAGAAGTTGATCTATGGAAACCAAGTTGATACATAAAAATATCACAACAACTAACCCAGGTTATTCTGCTCATTCTCCCTATACTATCCACATAAACATGTACAAAATAAAACTTGTATAATGCAGGTTCTCAGGGGACAAAGGAATAAAACTGGACTGTGCACTCCTTTCCTGTATGCAGACTATCAGTCAACAATTAAAGTATTGATTCGATGTTCCTTAGGTTTACCATGTCCTCCAGATGATCAAATGAGAACAGAATAAGCCCTTGTAAACTAATGGGAATAGTAAAGGAATTCAGATATGCACACCAACCATTCATGTCAAAAATTAAGAAATTGAAAATTTTTACCAACATCTACAGAATTTGATCAAGCACACATGCAATCAGAATACATTGATATTCATCGGTGATTGGAATGCCAAAGTTGAAAACAAAGAATGATGAGCAGTTAGAAAATATGGCCTTGGAGACGGAAATGACTCCAGAAATCACATGATAGAATTTTGCAAGACCCATGATTTATTCATTGCAAATGCCATTTTTCAGCAACCCAAACAGTGACCAGGAGCCCTGGTGACATAGTGGTTGCATGTTGGCCTATAAATTCCATTTCAGTGGTTTCAGAACCTTAGCAGCTCCAGCGGGAGAAAGACAGGGCCCTCCACTCCCGAAAAGAGTTGTAGCCTCAGAAACTCAACTCCTACCTTGCTTGCCCAGTAGGATCACTATGTGTCAACACCAACTCAGTGTCCGTGAATTTGAGTTTCTGAAACAGTAACGAGGCACAGGACCTCCCTGCCTGGAATACAAAGGAATCAAGTCAATTACATCTGTGGGAAAATGATGGAGAACCTCAATATCATCAATCAGAATAAGGCCAGGAATCCTCTGCAAAACACACCACCAATTGCTCAGATGCAAATTCAAGTTCAAGCTGAAGAAAATCAAAACAAGTCCACAAGAGCCAAAGTACAGCCTTGAGTATGTCCGACCATAATTTAGAGACTATCATAGGAATAAATGTGACAAATTGAACAAAGACCAGAAAAGTCCGGGCATGACATCAAGAACATCATTCATGAACAAAGCAAAAGGCCATTAAAAAGGCCGGAAAGGAAAAAGACCAAAATGAATGTCAGGAAAGACACTGACATTTGCTTTTGAACACAGAGTAGCCAACTGAATGGGAGAAGTAATAAAGTAAAAGAGTTGAACAGAATAACTAAAAAGCAGCTCAAAATGACAAAGCAAAGTATTATAACAGAAGGTAGGGTCGGGGAGTAGGGGTAATCTTGTGGAGTTACCAAAAGAAAACTTACACTCAGTATTTCTGAAGCTCAATGAGCTGAAGGGAAGAAAAAGTAAAGTCTCAAGTAGCAGTGTTGAAGAATTCTGTGTGTCAAATTTGAGCACTACAGAAAAGAGCAGAGATAATGGGAGGGATATACTAAATCATTCTACGAAGAAGAGCGGGCTGACATTTCATGATTTTAGGCGGTAGCATAGGATCAAGAACCTGATGGTATGGAAGGTGGAAGTCCACACTGCACTGCAGACACCAGCGGAAATCAGGCTCCATTGATTGACAGAAGACCAATTGAAAGGTTTCAACCAACAGTTGCAGCACGGTCTTGCACACTCATCTGTGCCAAGAAATTTGGAAGACAGCTACCCGACTAACTGGTTGGAAGAGACTTAGATTTGAACTCATTCTAGAAAAAAGTGATCCAGTAGGATGTGAAAATTGTTTTAAAATATATAATTAATATCACATGCAAGTAAAATTTTGACGAATATAATTAAAAGACTGTTGCAGCAGTACATCAACAGGAAAGTTCTGTAAATTCACTCTAGACATAAAAGAGGATGTGATGAAGAGTTATCATTGCTGGTATCAGATGAATCTTGGGTGAAAGTAGAGAATACCATAAAGATGTTTATCGTGCTTTATTGGCTATGTAAAACACTTTACTCTGTGGATTGTAAAAAGATAAGGAGAGCAGGCAAAGCATAAGAATTCCAGAACACTTACTTGCACTCATGCAAAACCTATACATAGACCCAGAGGCAGGCATCCAAACAGAACAAGGAGATATTACACTGTTGGAAATCAGAAAGTATATATCCTTTCACCACATATTTTCAATTTGTATGCTGACCAGACACTCTTGGAAACTGCTTATATAAAGAATGTGCAGCATCCGGACTGAGAGAAACACTATTAACAATGCACAATGCGCAGCAAGCACCAAGGACTTGGAGCGCTGACTGATGGAGATCAAAGACTACAGCCTTCACTGTGGATTACACCTCAACATAAAGAAAACGAAAGTCCTCACAACTGAATCAATAAGCTGCACCGTGGTAAACAGAGAAGAGTGGAGTTGTCAAGACTCCATGATGGATCCATAATTGACCCATGGAAGCAGCAGTCAAGCAGTCAAACAGCATATGCCATCGGGCAAATCTGCTCCACCAGACCTTTGTCAAGTGTGAATAAAGCAAAGAGATCACCTTGAGGCCTCAGGTAATCCTTGATCCAAGCCATGGTATTTAATGACCTCCTGTACGTAAGTTAGAGAGGGAGTAAGAAAGACTGAAGAACTGATGCCTATAAACTATGGTGTTGGTGAAGACTATTAAATACATCACGTACTGCATGAACGAACAAATTTTGGAAATACAGCCACAATTCTCTTGAGAAGCAAAGGTAGCAAAACTCTGTCTCAAGTATGTGAGCCTGTTAGCAGGAGTTCCTGGAGAACGCCATCATGCTTCGTAAATTACAGGGTCAGCAAAAGAAAAGAAAATCCTCCGTGTAATAGAAGGACACAGTGACTGCACTAGTGGACTCAAACTTGGCAACAGTTATAAAGATGGTGTGGGACTGGGCGGGGTTTGTTCCGTTGCCCACAGGGCTGCTAGGGGGCAGGACCAAGTCAGCCCCACCTAACAACAGGAGCACAAAGTACCGGGGAAAAGGAAGCTATGAAGATCGAGAATAAGTCTACAACAAATATAAGCAACAAAGCCAAAATGTGGTTCTTTAAAACAACAAAGTAGATAAATGTTGTAATAGTAATGAAAAATGAGGTGAAGGGGCAAATAAATAATAGAAATGAAAAAACGGTGATAATAACATTGCAGCAACATGAAAATAGAAGAGGATCTTATGAATGCACATGGATTCTTAAATAGGAAAATGCAACAGTATAAGGGTGTTAAATTTCTCTAAATATATCAATGACAGTGAAATTATAATGAAAATACCTGAAGACTTAACTTTTTCTGAAACTTGACAAGCCGATTCTAAAATATATGTGGAAGAACAAAATGCCAAGAATGTAATCGTTCTGAAGAATGAAGGGCAGGGGTTGTCAGTTGTGTAAATCTTGCCCTAGTGGATACTAAAACAACACCAGAAATGAATATAGAAAAAATAGAAATTGGATTCTTACCTAAAATCGAGTCTAGGTAAATTTAGACTTAACTATTAAAGGCAAAAGTAAATATGAAGGGGCCTGAAGGAGTGGTATGGGACCACATCTGACTTCCTCCGACTTCAATAGAGAGAAGGAAAATTCAATCCCAAACCAGCCCAAGACCTATTGCCCCAGGCAGAGGTCAGACATCCTCCCACCATCCATCCTTCGTTTACCCTACCATCCTCTGAGGGCGCTGAGTTTCGCTGCAGACGTTGCAGTGGCCACCCAGAACTGACATTGCTCAGGCTCATAATGGGTTATTAGGGAAGTTAACAGGTTACCACAAGTCAAGATCCAAACACATTCAGGATACAATCGTTGGTCCACAGCAGCACCTCTTCTCAAGCAGTCACAGGTCTAGCAGGTCCTCAGCC